TTTATAATTTTGATATAGTCTATATTAAAAGAGTTAATAATTTTCTTGTAAATTTTCTCAGTAAAAATATAGAATTTGCTGATGGATAAAGTCAAGGTCATGGAATTATACCAATTTATCCTACACATACAAAAAATGACAAATTTTTTTAAAGAAAAATCCGAAGATATAAACTCTGGAGCAATCCAGATCTCAGATATATTCAACTCAAATATAAAAATATTGTTAAATATCACCACCGAGCATCAAAAGTATGCTATGGAACTCAAAAATCAAGTTGATGCTATTGCAACACAACTAAAAGATATATTGTCTGAGACAGATATACCAAAGAGCTCAAAAATGAGTTTTCCAAATCAATACCAAACAGAGACAGCTGAAAGCAGCAGTGGACCCAGATGTGACAACATACCAACTGATAATAAAGGAGATTTCATTTCTGTATTATCAACAAAGAAAGTTATGATACATGAAGATAAAAGAGATACAAAATAATCAACATCATAGATCAAGAAGATAAAATCACTTTAGATCCAAAAGAAGAAAAATATGCCGAAATAGTCAAAATCGCTTATGAAATAAAAATGAGTGATTCATATTTCATTTCTCCGAAAAATAATGTTTATCCTAGAATAACAGCCATGGAAGGAGGAGACCCTTCATTTATAAAAATTATGGCAGACTATGAATTCATGGATCTGGTATATCCAGGAAAAAGATTTTATTGAAATTTTGAAGTTTGATGACATATTCATTAAATAAGTATCCAGATTTGCCAAGGAAAGGAAAATATATTTGAAATTCTATTCAATCAGTTCGAAATATGATGGAGTTGTTTACTATCCAGTTGAATACATAATCTCAATTGGATATGTTGCATCCAATTTTCAAATTGATGTTACAGAAAATAATAGAAAAGTTCCAATTGTGACAAAACCATGGATCAAATATAGAAGAGCATTTGGAATTAAAGTCATTTACAACATTGCCAGAAATTTGTTTGATAAAAAATTCTCATGCTTGTGCCAATATGAAAATTGGATGTTGGTATCCAATGGAGGATATGTAAAATCAGAAATTTTAAAAGGCTATATTACAAGATTTGATATACATCAATTTCCAGGATGTCCTATTACTATAAAAGAATCTTGGCAACTAAGGAAGTGCCCCAACTGCATGTGAAGACATCGAAGATAAAAAGCAATAATAGAAAAAGATGCTATTTGGATAAAAAGTTGAAGTAACATGTGAAGATGTAGCCCCAAAGAAGAAAATAATAGGAGGCAAGTGTGCCTTGCTGATGTACTCAATGATGTAATAGAGTCTCATAAATTTGTATAAATAGAGACATTGCCATAGAGAAATATTATCTCATCTTATCTTGAAATCTCGAGTTGTAAGCAATAGTTACTCAAAAAATTCATTCCTAGTTTGAAAAATCAATTTTTCTGGAAATCACTTTGTATCAAATAGAAGTCTTGTATAAATTCTGATAGAAATAAAACTCCAATATTTTTTTATATGAATATGAGTTTCTAAATTTTTATTCCCATAGATTCTTAATAGATCTGATAAAAAGTTTCTTTCTTATTTTAGCAAAAAGAAAGTTTTTCTTTAATAGAAGTCTAGGATTTCATTCTTTAGAAGTTAATACAGTGAGAGCAAGTAGCTGAAACAGTAACAATTCTATGAAGGCAGGAAGCCGTTGAAGGAATCAGTTTACAAATTCAGAGCTCAAATGTCATTCGGTTCTTAGAATACAAGTCCAGATCAAACCTAAGGTAAAACTATTAAACTTTTGCTAAAATTAGAATGAATCTTTTTAAGATCTTAAAGAATCGTAGGGATTAATTGTTGACTTGATGATCATTTGAATAAATGCTAAGATATACAATTAAAGGATTAGATAATTTATTAGAAAGAATGATAGAAGTAATAAAAAATATGTATTTTCAATTAGAAAGAATTGATGCATCTTCTGAAGAATATAATATATTAATTAATAAATGTGAACAATATGTTACAGATTATTCCAATTTATTAGATCATAGAATGAAATTATATTCAAATATTCAAAATAGGGAAAATACTTGATAAAATGTTTAAAAGATTTGAATATATATTGCAATATAGAAAGAATTTTTTCATTAAGAGTAATATAGACCTTTCAACAAAAAGAAATAGCGTTAGGTCAATTAGAAAAATCTCCCCTCAAATCTTTGAATGAAATGCCGCAAGAAAGCCTGAAGCTCCCCCACAGCCAGGACGGACTTTTCCGTGCGTAGGCTGAAAAGGGAAAGAGCTTCGGGTGTGAAGCTTATGTTGAAGCGTTGAAATACAATAGGGCTTACTTTTGGAAGGTAGACTTGGGTAGCAAGCTAGCCCTTCTTGCAACAAGCAGAAGCAAAAAAAACGTGGCAAACGGCCCTTAATAATACTTCAAAACTAAACAACAAGGTTTTTGGATAAAAATTGATGTGTGCCATCGAGCTGTTTTGTTACATAGCCTAGCCTTAAAAGATACAAAATTTTGTGATGCTAAAAAAAGCTTCAATCAACTAATGAAACATCTTTCAACTATCAATATGTAATTGCACTTGAAACAGTAATGCAAATGAATGATAGAAATAACAGAAGAGAAAGTGTCTGAGAATTGTAACAGAGAAATTCATCAAGAAAGAAAATATATCCTCTAACATCAGTGAGAAAAACTTCCTTTATTAGCTGCATTGATTATAGAACAATAACCAAATGAAACATGAACTAGAAGTACGGATTCTTCTTGAAGAAATTCGATTCTACATATATTGTCCATGTGTTTTACTATATTTCCATTAACTATGTGAACCCAACATATTTTGCTTGAATCCAAATATCAGAGTATGGATAGGGGGCTGCAATTTTGCCACCCAACAAATGTTCGGCATGAAATCATGAACCAGAGTCTTTTATATATTCAGAATGTCGATCCACTACAAGTTTGATCAGTGGGCTCTCAACATCGGAACCAGGTTGATTCTTGTCTCGGTGAACAGTGATCTTCCCACTCCTAGAGACAACTATAACTTCCACTTTACGGGTTAAAAGCTCATTGGCCACTACCATATGCATTTTATACTTTTTAAGAGCCATATCAGCCTTCTCCAGAAGAATCTTTGTATCCGTCTCCAGCTGTCAAGTCAGACAGAAATAAAGCATACACAAGACTAAGTGCTTGTTTGGTAGAGATTTTTATAATTGATTCTTTGACCGTTAGAGATAAAGTGGGTCTTACTTGTGATAAAGATTGATTTTAATTAGATTAATAGCTATACCAAACAAGCTCTAAATAACTAATAGTTCTGTATACGATTATAGACACGTAGAGATATAAAAAACTGAACTAATAGTACAGAAATTGCTTCCAAGAGAGGATAGATGTCAGTTCTCCTCATCTCTGTCTCGTTTTATAAGCATGGCCTAGAAATATTTTATTTGCGAGAACTGTGGAGGGGGAAGGGACTCAGAAATCAGCGAGGTAAATTTTTGTTTATTTATGTATCAAGGGACTAAGCAAAGGTGTACATATGGAAACATAGCAACCACATTTTTGACATGAACGTTCCACACACATTGTGGATATATAGATGTACGAGTTCAAATCCCCTGTGTAAAAATCAATCCATAACGGTAACTTGGAGAACTTCGGTGTCCATGACTCCCAGTTCTCCCTAATTTTTTTTATCACGTGCCATATACATAAATTCAAATCAAATTGGGAGCACTACTGGCAGATATCTAACCTTGAATGATATGCAGAAGGCCATAGGTGCCCAATCTTTCCTCAGCACTGAGAGCATCTTAGGAACTTGAGCAAGCCGCATGTCCAGAGGACCAGACCGGGACTGAATTTTATGCACCGTCTATAATTTCAGCCAGTATTGAAGTTAAAAATAGCTGAAGACACATAAGAGATCAGATTACCACATTCCAAAATGACCATGATCTCGAAATAGGAGCAATTTTTCAGAATAATTATGATATTAAAACCATATAATGGGGTGAACAACAAGGTTTACGACTTCAAGAATTGAAGATCACAAATTCATTACAAGTTTGAGCCATTTCAAGCTCATATTTCCCAGACCTCATACGAAAGTCCACCTCCAACAAGTTTATGTTCTTTGGAGAGAAGAAAAGGACGTATGCAATAGCAAGAACAAGTATAAGCAAGGAGGGTTTTTGGTCAGATGCTTTACATGATCCGGTAAAAGAATATAATGGAAGCAGATTTCATAAGTTCAATTATCACTAAATGATGCTTACAGAAGCAAAGGCAAAACGACCAAGGAAAATGCATCTGTTTCTGAGCAACAGGACAAGTAAAAACTCATTTCATCCAGACCATAAATTAAAAAGTCAAAATAGTATCATTTCATAGTTGCTCATCTTCATACCAAATTAGACATCCTTCACAAAAGACATTCATTTCTATAATCAGTAATATGTGAGGCGAAAGCGAAATTAAGCCCATCACACCCTTTAAGATAAGGAAAGTTATGGATGCTTAAACCTTTAACTGCCAGAAGCACTAGTCTGACTCTCACCATGAGTTTTAAACACGATCCATATTATAAATTAAGTAAAACAAACTATTTGTCTGCTTCACCAAATACAACCCTTTACAACACAATCAAATGCCTGGCCTTTGATTTGACTTTGGGCAAATGTTTCAGGGAGATTTACCGACCACAGAGATGCACATAATAACAAAACAAAATGAAAGACAACTTACCATGGTCTCCCATGGAACGTAAAAGTCCGAAACTGCAGCTGCAAGATAGAACATAGCACTTGATCCGAGACTCCTCATTGATAATGCAATCAACTGTAAAATCTGCCCACACATAAGAGTCTTCAGTAAATGAAGCAATGAAAATCAAATAAATAGAAAAGGTGCATGCAGAGATGGAGAGCTGCGAACTTAACAAGCAACCAAAAATAATTAGGTGAAAGCCACCCAAAACATTCTTTACATTTCCCAAGAAAAAAAACATTTAACGAGCATTATAAAAACCTCTTGAAAATAGAAAAGATGTGACCTCTGAGAAGAAAAGATTGATTGCTAGATCCATTAAGTTCATATTATAAGGTATTGTCTTCAAGTATTATAACCATTTCCTCCCTCGAAAAATGGTCATAGAAGGGGATGTGAAGTTTGAATAGAATACAAACCATTAACCAACGGTGTTTGCATAGTACTATTGGTAATCCAAATGGGTGTATGGGTAGTAATATGGATAAAAGTAATCACTCTTTTCTTCTTAGAGGAGAAGAAAGGTAATTCTACATAAATAAGCAAAATCTCTCCTAGGTTTCTTGGATGGTTAACTTCACTAAGCTCAACAAACTCATACATCGAAAGCATACCCGTGAAAATTTATAATTGCAGAGTAGAAAAATCAGAAATGGTAGATTTTATGATTCATGTAAACATTAGGACCAATTAGCCCAAGGGAAAAATTAAAAATTTAATAAACAGTAAAACAGCAGGTGTTTAAGTCTTAGGAAAAAAATAAGAAAGACAACCTGAAGATACTCGAAAATTGTTGTAAAGGGAAGTTTCAACAAATTGCCTTTGATAACTGCCTGCAGTAAAATTGATGAGTCTGAATGTTAATCACACAAGTATTACAAAAAGATAAAATTGTGAATTAACTGCAAAGATCCATACAGAATGATGTTCACTGATGGCTTTCTTCACCGCTTCAGCATGTACCGGATTCACTGAAACATACAATAGGCGTGGCAATCAAACAAGAAACCAAAAGAATGCTTTATCTAATGCAATGCCGAGCAACTTGTTGAAATATCAGGAGATATATATCCATTAGTATGAAGTTTATTTTGGATGATATTCCATAAATGTTTAAAGACATGTTCCAAAACAACTGTTGCACAGAATGCAAAACAGTCATAACCTTCTTAAGCAATGTTTATAGTCTAGTGCATTGTTAGTAATTAATCAAATTACTCTCTTCTCAATGGTCAGTAATAGGTTGGATGAAAGATAAAGCAACTTCTAACCTCCAATATTTGATTCATTGGTAATGTCAAAACATTCAAGCAATGGATCATCCGGAAGAGACCTACAATATGGCTGGCAGGTTCCCCTGCATATTCATTCCTAAAATGTTAATGATGCCAACAAAATCATAGGATATATCTCCGTGAACAAATGAATTGTTCAATTAAACTTAAAATAAGATTAGGTAATTGCTTAAGTACTTACCTCCGATAGAGAAATATTACAGAATATCCGGCCTTCAAAAAGTATCTGTAGTTCCATTATATAATTTCACCATGTCAAAAATATAATTAAATTGTGAAACTGTCCAACCCAAACGAGACATAGTATGATGTTTACTCTGTGGATGCAGCTCCTCTATGACCTGAGCTGAAGTTGTCAATGTAACGAACACATCGTTGCTCCAAAGGAACAGTTGTACCCCCAGATGTAACGCAAACCACTCTCCGAGTTGTTTTGTTCTCTGAAGTACATGTTAACACATTACATCTATACAACATTAGAAAAAATAAAGTAGAACTGCATAAGGAAAAAAAATATGCACCCCAAGGTAAATAAATGAGAATGCTTGCCTGATGATGAATAATTCCTTTCTATAAATTCTTCTAATTTTCTGTTGATTTCATCAACATCCTTCAGAGGAGGAGATGAATCGAAGAATGACTTGATTTCTGTATATAGCGTTTCTTGGAAGTGTTCTGAATCCTTAATTTCATCCATTGGATATACTTGCTAATATGCAACAGCCAGAACTCCAAATAAAAGATGATAAAAGAAAGGCTGAAATTTTTGTAATAGTGATCAATCTTCAATTTTAAAAAATAATAATAAAATAAAATCAACAACACTAAGTTTTGACATAATAAGAACCTGCCCTCAATTTAGTGCAGTGTATCTCGTCAAACAGTCAACTGAAAGATAAAAATTTAATAAACTGCCACAGATGCTGTCATTGAATTGTCTTTATCATTTAAACAAACATAGAAGATATTTGAGTACAACAAAAAACATGAGAATAATTCAGCTCTCTAAATAACAGACATAAAAGCTCAACTGCAATGATTGAGCTTTCATATAAATGCTAATAAGTAGGGTGTGCAGCAATTAATATGCTGAGCCAGCACTCCTCAGATCTGCTCATTCCCAAAAAAGAAATTCGAAATCATTCGTTACTCATTTTTCACGAATAATTGCAGAAATTATCATTTACTTCAAATTC